CCTCCGTGGTCTACTGAGTCGGTGGGGACAGGAATGGAAAGGGGAAACCCCACGGAAGCCACTGGGGCTACTGGGGCCCACAGCAGGATCAGGTGGAAGAAAAGGCATTTCCGGATGGGGTTCTCTCCCAGAACCCTCCCCACCAGGGAACTCCCTGGCCAGGGCAGTGGGTTGGTCCAGAGGATGATGAGTCCTTCCCACCCGAGACCCCCGGCATGCCTTCCTATTCCCTCCCTCCCTCATTATCTTGGTGGGAAGAGAAGACACTGGAGAGCAATTCATACAAACGTTGACCAATTTTGATAGCAAATAAAAGGTGACTTTAAAAAGTAGGCCTCACCTTGGACGCTGGTGGCCTTTGGCGTTCGATGGGACGTCCACAGGGAAGCTTCTCCCCAGCCAATCCGTGTGGCTGCAGAAATACGGACCAAGTAGACGCTGTCGGGCTTCAGGCCTTGTAGGAGATGCTCGTACGCCGTGCCTGGAAGTTCCAGAACCTGCACGGCGCTCTCCGTGCTGAGCCGGAAGGACAAGCGGAAGGAGACCACCTGGCCCCGCCTGTACTTGGCCGGGATGGGGAGCCATGAGATGAGGATGTCGGTCGGGCTGCGGCTGGTCAAGCTGATTTCGGGAGCCCTCAGAGGAACTGAAAGGAAGACAGGGACAGGCACAGGATCAGCTCCCTGATGGAGCCCAGCCCCAAAGCCACCCGCTCGGTTCCTGCACGGAGATTCCTCTTCTTAGCTGGAGGGCCTGGTGGGCCGCTGGCCCAGCCCACACTCTCCCTCTGGCTGCCAACACAGCGGGGGCCAGAAGGGCTTCATCCAGCACCCGTGCCAAACCCCAAAGCCCCCCTGGTTGGAAGTACAGGCTCCCTGGAGCATCAGGCAAGGTGCTGCTCTTTGCCAGGAGCACAACACACGTCAGCCGGGAAGGGGAAGAGCCAGAACTGGGCCCATGGCACCGCTGGGCCCAGGGGTCTGCTGGCCCCAGTCGGAAAGAGCGAGCCGGCACCCCACACTTTGCCCGGGGCTGTGGGGAATCCCTCCCCCCAGCCCACTCGAGGGTCCCACCGACACGAAGGGAAGAAATTCTGGAGCTCCTGGACTCCGAGGTCCGGGAGCGGAGCGCCATTTCGCCTGCCACGAGGGAGCCCCCTCCGCCTCGTGATGCCGGCCTACCATCTTCCAGGGTGGGCTGCGTCACGTGGTCGGACATCTGGCTGGCCCCCATGGGCATGTAGGCCACAATGTAGAAGGTGTAGTTGCTGGCAGGCTCCAGGTCGTCAATGATATAATGGGTGGTGTCGTTTCCAATAACAACTTGGTATTCTTCGTTATTCAAGCCTGAAATATTGCCAGAATTCACAGGAAGAAATAAACAAGGGTTTGGAAAGAAAGCCCAGGGAAACCAGTTGTGCTTTTTTTTCTCTGAGCAAAGGCTTGGATCGGAGAGGAAACCAGATTGCACGCTTGCCTCACTTTGGGACGAGGTGAAGAGAAGAAAGGGGGGGCCCTGAATAAGCTCCAGGCCCTGTTCAGGAAACCGAACAGAGGGCAGAAAGAAAGGGGGGAGAGTGCCACACACACAAACACACACATGGGCAACCTTCTCCGAGGGGGGGGGCTCTTCATTTGGCACCAGAGAAGCTCCCCCCCCTCCCTTGCAGCCCTTTTACATCCATCCTTGGTATTTTGGAGGGAGGGAATGAAGCAGCCACTCAAGGTGCGTTATGTGTGTGTGTGTGTGTGTGTGTGTGTGAAAGTGCAAGAGAGTTTTGGACCCTGTTTTCAGGAGGAGGGGGGCAGTAGCGGGATGGGGGCCTCAACTGCCCTTCCATAATGCACAATTGATGCTAAATTGCTTGTCAAGGTTTTTTGTGTGTGTGTTGTTCCCCCCCCCCGCAGCCGGGGGCTGTTGAAGAGGCTAAACTCTTTCCTCGCAAGAACGGACCTTCTCTCCAAAACGGGGGGACAAAAGAAATCCCACCAGTTGAGTTTCCCACAGTTCTGAGTTAACTTGATAGCATTTTAATTAGGTAGGATTATGAGCATCTCACAACACCTCAATTAATGGCTTGTTAATTAGGAACGGCATAGCGTGATTTCTGACCTGCCACGCAGGGTCCCTGAACCCACGACTGAATGGGCTCGTTCTCCCCATGAATGGCTGGACCCCATGCAGGGGCCCTTGTGAAAGAGCTGTGGAGAAGACGAGGCAGCCCCCCCCGCTCGCAACGCGCCCTCCTTTTGTTCCTTTTCTTAATTGCTAACAAGGAATTAACACACAGCCTCCCTCCAGCCTCCATTCTTCCTGCAGCACAAACGTCTTCCCCTGCCCCAACTGGAAGACAAAATATTTCTTTTAAAAATACCCTCTCAACAGACACCGGCTCGTTTCACTCTCTCTGCATTGCACCCCCCCCCAGCCCCCATTTCGTTTCCCTCCAGCCCAGCCTGATTCAACACCGACTTCTGTTTTGTCCTGGGAGGAAGGTGGGGCAGAATATAATCTGATTCTGGACAGCATTTCAGAGATGAATGGAGCCACCTCCTTCCAGCAAAAAAGCCTCTCTGCCATTTGTCAACGAGAAGTGGAAGCCTCTCGGCCGTTTCCCAGGGACCGAAGGGCAGAGGAGCCCCCCAAGCCGGATCAGGCTCAAGGAGGCCCTTCTCGTCTCATCGCCCCTTTCCCACGCTGGGCAACCAGGTGCTGAGGTGGAGAGCCCACAAGCCGGATGGGAGGAGGCCGGAAGGAAGCCCAGCCAGGCAGCTGCAGGAGGTCAGGAGCCACCGCCGGCTCCTGAACCGGCAAAAAGGTCTAGAGCTGCCACGCTCACCCGCAGTGGCCCAAGGAGGGCCTTCTCCGGCCTCCGGGGGCCTCATTCTGTTTTACAGTGGGATCAAGGCACCATGTCGGGGAACCGGCTGTAATTTGGCCCTTCCTCCTGTGTAGAGGAAAGCGCCTTGGGTGCTGGGCTCAATTTAAGGTGCTGGTGGCAGCCCCTCTCGAGGAAGGGCTTTCTCTTTCTCCCGTGAGCATCCCTTCCCTCCGTGGGGGCCACTGGGGGGGGGAGGGCCTTCTCGGTTAAGGGACTCCAGTTGGGGAATCCACCCCACCCCCACCTCCCAAAGGCCCACCGACCCTGAAATGCCAGGAGGGCATTCAAAATAGTCACCACCCTGGCTTGGCCCTTGAGCCCCGGCTGGCAGCCACGGGCAACGAGGAGGTTGGTGGGTGGCTACTCCCAACAGTCCAATCCAGCACAGCCAAAGGGGAGAAACACAGAGAAGAGCAGAAGCCTCACGATGCCTTGGGGGGGGCGACTTGTGGGTGACCGGCCGGCCGGCCGGCCAGGCGGAGGGCCTTGAGGGATTCAGTCTGTCCACATCTTCCAGTCTTCCAAGGGG